GTCAAGGCAACGTGAGCCAACACCAGGACATCATGTGACCAACAAACATGGAGGATGAGCGAATCAGGACGGTGTGTCGATGACATGAACACAACGACTCTCAGACTAACGGCAAAGACACACAACAGTTTAAAAATCCTCACAGAGGCACAAAGAACACAAACAGAAGTGAAATAACTTCAAAGACACACAAAAAGGTGCAGGAGACACACAATGACTGCCTGACCATCAGGACACACAAACATGAACATAATGATCGACAACACCACAAAACAACCAGAGACACACACAAGGGCAAACCGGCAACACACAACGATAAGAAGACCTACAACAACCTCACAATGACTACAAAGGACACAAAGAGACACAAACAACTCTACACACAGTTAAAATGACCACAGACACACAAAACAATGTCCGACGACAGCAAACAACCACAAAGACACACAAAACAACCAGAGAGTGACGGGAAGCAGCTCCACAGACACACAACAGGAGCAAAGAACCTGTCAGGAGACACAAAACAGCCACAAACATTCACACCTGAGAAGCTGCAGGTGTTTAAAACTTACCTGGAAAATAAATCCGTTCATACGACTCAGAGAACGTTCATTAACTTCATGTTCTGTTTCTACATGAAGCTTCAGAGCTTTGCTGGAGTTTCATTGACAACAATACCTGTGTGTCTACCTGTGTGTCTACCTGTGTGTCTACCTGTGTGAGTCCATGTGCTCTGTGTCTCTGTGCCTTTTACTTTCATTTTCTGTCTCTTTTGTTCTGTTTTCTGTGTCTGTGGTCATTTTGTGTCTTATAGAGAACTGCTTGGTGTGTTTTAGTTTAGTTTTGTGTCTCTTAGTTCAGTTTTGTGTGTCTTTGTGGTTGTTTTGTGTCTTTTCGCTGTTCAGTGTGTTTTAGTTTCGTTTTGTGTGTCTTTGTTGTCGTTTTTTGTGTCTCTGCGGTTGTTTTGAGTCTCTTTTTTCTGTATTCTGTGTCTTTGTGTTGGTTTTGTGTGTCTTTGTGGTGCTGCACAGCCCGCACTGCCTCGGTCCAGTAAACCGGGTCGGAGTGAGACCTCCGTCCTGCCTCCGGTCCTCAGAAACCTGGGCGGAGTGAGCCCTCTGCCTGCCGCCCCTCTGCGCGGCTCTCCGTCTCCTCCGCTAGCCGAGCCTGCTAGCTGGCTGCCCGGGAACCATGGCCATGTCGCAGGCTCTGTCCGAGGAGGAGTTCCATCGGATGCAGGTGAGACAGACACGGCGGGCCGGCGGGCTGAAGCCCGGGTGGCTGTCAGGGCCGCGGGGACACCTGGGGCCAGGTGCGGCGGCATCAGTGCCGGGGGCGCTAGCGCAGCACGCTAGCCGTTAGCCGCAGCGTTAGCTCGGTGTTGTGCTGATGTCAGTCCGCTTACAGCCGCCCGGAGCCCCACACCTCTGCTCAGAAACACACACGGGACCCAGCGGCGGTAAATCAGCCTCGTTAGCGGAGCCTGCTGCTCCGAGGAGCCGGACAGCAGGGTTTAGGTTCGCTTCCCCGGGGCTAGCTGGCAGCGGCTAACGGGTTAGCATGGTGGGGACTGCTGATGTGAGTCACGGGGTGCCAGGAGGCAGCAGCCCGGACAGATGTGAAGCTCCGGCTTTGTTCACGAGAATTAACCGTAAAGACACGACGGCAGAGGCTCAGACACACCTGTTAGCCTGTTAGCCTGCTAGCTGCTGCCTGTCAAGGTGTTTACCTGCAGCAGGTGAGCAGACGCTGCAGAGACAGGAAGCAGAGCGAGCTGTCAGGACAGACATCAGAAGATCAATGACACTGATAGATGTCACCTGTGAGCTCAGTGTGTGTCTGTCGCTGTTCTGTGTGTTTTTGTCTGTCTGTGGGTGTTGTGTGTGTGTGTCTGTGTGATCACGTGGTGTGTGTCTGTGATTGTTTTGAGTCTCTTTATTGTGATTTACCTCTCGAGGTGATTGTTTGAGTCTTGTTTTGGTCCTTGTGTGTGTTTCTTTGGTCATATTGTGCATTTCTGTAGTTGTTGTGTGTAGTTGTGTAGTAGTTGTGTGTAGTTGTGTAGTAGTTGTGTGTAGTTGTGTAGTAGTTGTGTGTGTTTGTTGTTGGTTTTTCCTCCCATCTGCTCCTCTCTGACAGGATAGATGCTCCTTTGTGTTTTGGCTGAATCATACTGAACACACACCGTGTCCAGGTGAGTCGTTCACACTCACCTGGTCTCAGGTGTGACTTTGCTCAGAGGGTGGATTCAGCCTGATGACCTTTGACACACATTCTAACGGATGAGAACAAGCGTTTCCTGTGAGCTGTTCTGATTTCTCATCGTTCTTCACTTTCTAAGCGGTTCCCTTGTAGACGGACTGTGAGCTTCCTGTCCGTTGCTGTTCCGTCACGCCGCTGCAGGAAGCCGTGAAGTTTCCCAACGCGCTGAAACGTGACGTTGATAAAACGTGTTTCTCCACTCTGGGGCTGTTTCAGGCTTCCTGTGTCACAACACAAACGTTCTCAGACACTAACGGACACACGGTGATCAGACCAATTAGAGAGGAGCTCGTTAGCGGTTCTGGAGGTGATGCTTCCCTCCAGCAGCTGATTGGACGGTTCTGCTCCTGTTGCATCATCAGCGTGTCACCAGGACCCGAGTGAGGAAGTCCGACAGCAGATCAATCAGCTGAGTCATGTCTTACAGAAACAGTGCTGGTTCTGACTGCAGCTGCTTCGCTCTGAAGGTTTTAGGTTTCAGTAAACGGAGAGAACATCTACGTTTCTCACCAAGTTCTGATGTTTTAGAGACAAACAGCTGATGGGTTCATGATCCATCCATCATCTCTACACCTTAATCCTCACCAGGGTCATGGGGGGCGGAGCCTATCCCAGCTGACTCAGGGTGAAGGCAGGTTCACCTGGACAGGTAACCAGTCTATCACAGGGCTACACTTAGAGACAGACAACCAAGCACACTCACATTCACACCTACGGACAATTTACAATCACCAATTAACCTCAGCATGTTTCTGGACTGTGGGAGGAAGCCGGAGAACCCGGAGAGAACCCACGCTGCACGGGGAGAACATGGAGACTCCACGCAGGAAGATCCCGGGTGTCCTCACCGGGACGCCAACCGGCGACCTTCTAGCTGCTAACAGTGCTAACGTTGCTGACGGTGCTAACCACTGAGCCACCAGCAGCCCTGGATTCATGATGAATAGAGGTATTGGGTTCGGTCCTGGGTGAACTTTAACCAAACGGTTGTTCTGATCATTCATCAGAATTTCATCAGAACTTTAACTCTGACCCAGTGATGAACTGAACCGGCTTTGACATGTAACGACACAGATTCACACTAAACCAGAGAGTCGACATAAACACCAAACGAACCGTAACAACCGTGAAAACCTTTTTCCATCTGGGCTCCAAATGTGGAGGAAAATTCTGGGAACAGTTTGAGAAAAACGAAACCTGAGTTAATGTTTGTTTCCATCGGCGACGCTGAAATAGCTGCAGAGTCTGATAAGCTGCTGTTTATGCAGTTTGTTTATTAGTCAGTCTGAGTGATGCTGGAGTGAAAAGCTGATTGTTTGTCTCCTGTTCTGTCTGTTTTTATGGCTGCTTTTTGTCCAACGTTGATCATTTTGTCTCATGTTGTGTGTTCTGACTCTTCTGGGTTGCTGTGCGTATGTTTGTGGTCCTTCTGTGTCACACTTTGGTGGTTGTGCATCTTTCTGTGGTTGTTTTTTTGAGCAGAGGTGAACATTTCGTGTCACATATTTTATTTATTTGCATCACTTTTGCCCCATTTGGGTCTCGTGTTTGTTTGACATCTCTCTGACGTTGTTGTGTTTCTCATTCTGGACGTGGTTGTGAGTCTCTCGTGGTCAGTATAAATCTGTTTGTGGTTCAGGACGTGTGCTGTGCAGTTTGGTCCTGGTGTCAGGTGTTGGCAGAACGGTCCTTCCATTGTTCTGTCAAGCAAAACTGGACAAAAAACAACCACAAAACGATGCAACGTGACCACAAAGACACGAAATCAACAGAAAAAGACGTAGAACAACCAAAACGTGTTGCAAACTGACGACAGAAACACGTATGTTGACCACAGAGAGATTCACGTGATCCCAGAACGCTGAGAAATAAACCGTCCTGTTGTCGTTTGTGTTTCAGGCTCAGCTGCTGGAGCTGCGAACTCAGAACTACCAGCTGTCCGATGATCTCAGGAAGAACTCAGCAGGTAAACCTCTCCACGCGCTTCGCTTCCTGAACCGCCACGAACACACGGCGGAGCTGAACCGACGCTTCAGCCTCCGACAGCTGCCTTCATTTGTCATTAGGACTTCATGGAGGTTCTCTGGAAGGGTTTAATGTGCAGAACAAATCTGGTTGAACCTGCAGAGTGGACACACAGCAGACACTGAGCAGGAAGATAACAGGATCAGCTCAGCGTTGTTCCAGGAGTTAAACAGTAAATAAGCACAGTGAGGATTTGGGGTGTTGTGGTCGTTGGTGCTGCAGTTTGCTTCAGGGTTTGTGTTTCAGTCTGTTGTAGGTTTTATGATCAGAAATACATTCGTTAGCTGCTAACTGAGGAAAATAAAGAAGCACACAGAGCTCCAGACTCTGTGACAGCCAGAACACGCCACGTTTACTGATGTTCCCTGAACGCCTCAGCCATGTGTGTGACTCTAAACGAGTCGACTCGAGCGTTCTAGTGTCCGATTTACCAAACGTGAAAGCGAGGGATATTTTTCTACGTGTGCTCTTTTCTACACACAGCGCAGCGTAGCATGTTTATTTTTAGGTTTTTACCACAGCTGCACTAAATTCACAGCGTCGGTAGTTACCAACATCATCTCTCATGTTTCTGTAACAGTTAATGCAGCAGCATGAAGACGCTCTGTAACCAGAAGGATGCTTTTAATGATAAAATATCATCATTATTTTATATAAAAAACTGAAAAAAATATGAAAGCACATCATTATTTGTTG